TTGGAGCTATTGATTTTAACCTTCCACCTCAGAACACCATCTAGGAATTTCTGTTATATATAAAAATTTATTTTATATAATTAGTGGTGAGATTGATGTAATTTAAAGCAAATATTGTTGCGGTGTTTTTACTCATCCTTCGGCGAGAGTAAGGAACGCTTGTTGTTCGTGCTTCGTGTTGTATGTTCGTCAAGTAATAATCGACGAGTAGTTTTATCGCTGTCTTATTTATGAATGCAAGTAATCATTATATTCTATTACATTAGGAACAAATGAGATCATAATTTCAAGTAAACCTGTTTATATTATAATCGTGGTTGTAAATGACTAATTACTTTTTATCACAATGCATAAATTGTATATCTGAATGAATTCTATTGCTTGGTTTATTAAATAAAATCTTTTAAACACTGTAAGTGAGATTATGAAATTATATACCTAACGATACTTTAAAAAATGAATACATTGAATATTGTATAAAATTTATGAAGTTATTAAGTTAACTTTGTGAAATTGTTAATACATTATCATTTCCATTTTTTACAATGTTTTTCGTTACTTTAACTTAGTTTGTTATTCTTAAGCAAACGCACTTTGTAAGAGAATCTTAAATTTACAAAAAACTGATGTATTTGTTGCTTAAATTTATTGAGATTGTATTTTTTTTTCGAAAGTAAACAGTTGTAAAACATTTTAATAGTAGAAAGGTTGAAGGTCAAGGTTTATATAACTGAGCAACATCTTAGTTCGATGTTAGTATTTGAGGCATCAGCATTTTTCTTCTGCGTGAACTCTGTTTATTACATCTACAAAACATCCCTAAAACAAAAAATAGCACACATGTGAAAAGTATCAAGGAAAAGTCATGTCAAATTTACTACTTTTTAACAAAAATGATTTCATTTTCTTTTAATAATTTTTTGTATTTGTAATTATTTTTAGGTGAAAATAACAAAGTGCATATTGCTGTTTGAATTACTATGTAAATAGGCCAAAGTAATTATTATTGTGAAATTTTATTCTATACACATAATTAGCTATGAACTGATCGTAATGACACGGTTCCCGGAAGAACACCGAAGTCAAGCATCACTAGCTGCGGTCAGTAAGCGAATGGCTGACCAATTTGATCAGCCTGCGTAGGGAGCGAGGGTGTGCGCATCGGTCCTCGTTAAGCTGTTCTACCGTAAAGTGCTCAACTTCGCAAGTTGGTCGTCGGGATACCAAAGAAGGGGAGCCATCCCCTCTGCAGAGGATCAAAATTGCGATGGCATGTCTTCGAATCACCCTCAGAGTCGTTTCCAAGAGCGTCGTCGATTGCCCATTGTAAAGCAATAGTGCGAAGTAAATAAAGTACCTACCTACTTTATAAAACTTAAAATTAATTAATAAAAAATAATATTACTCGACTTATCTTATACCACGTTCTTAGGGCACTTATTGTGGCAAGTTCAAATAGAAAATACTTATATTAGTGTAAAGAATACCAGTAAAGCAGCTGTGTTTAAATGGAAAGGATAAATATTTTTGATTTAATTTGCAATTAAAAACACAGAAGATATAGATAATGTTCATATGGATTCCATGTATTAAGATGAAATAGTTACCTATTTTTAGTCAAATGTATGCATAAATACAACATTTTAATAAATATTTTATTTTATTTTAATTTCTTAGGTCTAAATTATCTAAATATAATTTTTCCATTTGAGATAAATGGTACATTTTTATGATGTATTAAAGTTGCAAGTTCTGTAAATAAAATAAAATTAAAACAAATGTCATAAGAATGTAGTCATAAACTAAATGATTTTTTCATTGATTTAGTCCATGGTGTATGGACAAAATTTTCTATTTCATGTATAATTTTTTTTTCTATGAATGAAACAATTTTTTGTGTCTTAATGTATGTAATTCTAGCATATTTCAAAAGAAAATAATACCACATTTTATAAAATTTCTAAGCTTAGCCTAAAATGGTCTAATGGTTCGAATGCTATAGGTTTTACCAGACTACGAATTTGAAGGAACAAAATTCGAGTAAGAAGAACGGGGAGTCAGAAATCTCAGGTTCGAAAGGCTTCTGGAGGAGGGAAAAAAGACGAAAATGATTCAAAAGGGAAATCTTAAAAATTCTTAAGCTCAGAAAAAAAGATGGGGTTTTTCTGAACTGTTTATTTCTTTATTTTTAAGTTTATTTCGATTATTTAACTTACTTACTTATCAATAATATCAGGGAATAAACTTACTTATCAATTGTAAGTTTAATTTCTACGATCTTTTATCTTCGATACTCAAGTGTTTCTGATTGGATATTAAATATATAGTTTTGTATATAAAACAGATTAAGATAAGGTTTTTAAAGATGTGTATAGAACAACTGTGTATAGCTGTTTAATAATTTTTTTTTGCATCCTCTATAAACGGAATGGAATCAAACACTTTCTTAAGAACTTATAAAATAGGGAAATATTCGCTTAAAAAATTCTAACATTCGTATAAAATAGATTAACATACTACAATTGAAGTTTGACCATAATTACCCTTGTGTTATAACACCATTTTTACAACGTTATACACCGAAGAGCCATTACATTATGACCACCCTGCTAATAACATGTAGGACCACCTTTAGCCCTCCAAACTGCTAGGACCCGCCGTGGCATTGATTCCACAAGGTGCTGATAAGTAGTCTGAGGTATCTGGTACCAAGCGCTCACCAACTGGTCCTGCTATTCCCTCACATTGCGAGGGGGTAAGGCAGCAGCACGAATTTGGTTTTCCAAGTAGGACCACAAATGCTCTATTGTATTAAGGTCTGGTGAATTTTGGGGCCAAGACATGACTTGAAAGTCACTGGAATGTTCCTCGAACCAATTCAAGACGATTCGACCTTTATGACATGGTGCATTATCCTGTTGGTAAACACCATCCCCCAAAACTGTTGCCATGAAAGGGTGAACCTGGTCTGCAACTATGTTCAAGTAGCTTACGTACGTCAAGGATTGTTCTATTAGGATTATGGGTCGTAATGTGCCCCATGAAAGCATTGTTCCTGGGCGAGAAACCATGAAAACCTGGGCGAGCCCATTGTTATAGATGGAGGGTGGTCATAATGTAATGGCTCTTCGGTGTACATAAAACGATCTTTCTGACTCTAGCGACCCATGAATACTTGAATAGGATCTCAATATTGCACTTTTGAATTACATCTCTTATTAGATTTTTACGTACGTTTTCTATAGCACGCACAAACTCTTGAGTTTACAGACCAGAGGAAGAGGTTTTTTCTCCTAAAGATGTTAGGAATCATAATTTAGTAAGCAATTTTTAAGTAGCTGTTCCTTAAACAAATACTAGATTTGTTAATAATTTTAAAAATCACAGCGTAAATATATTAAGTTATAAATAATAAGTCTATTAATAAATACAGCGGAAAAATATTAAATTATTTAAAATGCCAGGTTATACTTACACCATTGTCCGTCATTTTATTACAAGTACCAAATTGCAAAGAATCAGCACAGGTCTCCTAAAAATTTATAATAGTCTTTAGAGAAAAATTATATTTCTTTAAAATACCATAAATACAAATTATTCATTAATATAAAAATATCAGAAAATATCACTTTCTTAATTTTAATATTTTATGGAAAACCAAAAACTTACCGGAAGAGCACGATGCAGTTTAACTAATTAACTAACCTGTCAAGAATGAATGCACATTTTACTTTGTCCAACCATTTGTGTGTGCATATAAGTATATATATATATATATATATATATAATATANAAATTGATTTTACTAGTTTACAATATATATATGTATATATATATATATATAATTGTTTAATTGGGTTCTACTGCCATCAAAAATCTGCTTCTGATTTCAGTCTTATTATCATTTATCACCAGTTACTTAAATTGCGTGGACAGTGGCTATCGACACGATCAACCTTCAGCTATGAAATGGTACCCCGACACAGAATCGAGTCAACATGTCTTATATGCTAATGAATTGGAATTGTAATTTGTAATGGTAGACACACTACAAACTCTTCAAAAGTACGATTTTCAATCTGAATGATTCACGCTCCGTGTATTTCAGTGCTCACTATCATATACTTCGCTTTTTCTTTTCTCATTTTCATGTCCATATCCTTTTGCAGCATTTGAAAGGGCAATAAACGCTTGCACAACAGCATATTTTGTTCGCCTTTCTAAATTCTGCATATGCTAATAATGGTACAGATTTTTATAGAGTGGGGCCTTTGGGACTAATTCCTGAATTTCTTACAGTTATTTTAAATAAAATGCTTGATAAGGAGTCTCCCTGTCAAAGACTTCTCACTCTCTGCAATAGAAAGCCTCTGATTCATTGGACATGATTTTAACCCTGCACTTAACACTATGTCATTCTGACAAGATTCATAAGTTTGGAAGGGATATCGAGTTCAAACTTCGCCTCAATAATTCTATTTCTAGAAATGCAATTCTAAGATATTTTGAAATCTACAAAAAAAATTTTGAAATATACAGAGAAAGAAAATGGTTCGCATCAACGCCATATCCCTTAATTTTTTCAAGAATCAACTGTATGATCCAATTCTGGGCCATTCATTAAGCATTATTACATTTTTAAACAGAGCTACCATCTGTTTGCATTCCTACCTCTCTTTATATGACTGTGAAAACTTTCTTAGTGGATTTGGTAATAGGTATTTTAATGAATTATCCTGCCTGTTTGGATTTATTATTCTCACCTTTTCCAAACATATTTCATATTGGGAAATAAACCCTTCAAATAATTTAAAAGATGCTGCTGTAACAGAAAAACAAAAGTTGCATTATTTTTATATTCCTATAAATAAGTGCATTATTTATGCGAAATACAATCTGTATTGCAAGATTTTTTTTTACCTAATGATAAAATTCAGAAATAAAGTGTAAGAGCTTAAAATGTAACAGCTGCAACAATTCTTTGTAAAAAGAAATTCCCCTCTTTAGCAAGCATGAATCAGGGAAAGAAAATAAATTGCATCTCTTTTTTTAAACAAATATTTCAATTGGTGTAGATCCTTTTACTACATTGGTTACATATCCAATAAAATCTGTTGCTTAAGATGAATATCTTGAAATCTAATGGTCACGTTTAGTCTATGATTTTATAAAAACAAAATATTAAATGCCCTAATTTTGATTTCTACGTATTTCTTTTTTTTCGTACTTAACATAGACCTACTCAAAATATAGTATTTAAACATACAAAGTTAGTTATTACAAATACTCACTGAGTACTCGTCCATAAAGAGCTGTAGAACTTCCACAAAATATTCATTCTTAAAAAGAGAAAAATATTTTAGGTAAATTGTTGAAATATTATTTTCCAAAATGTATTCAACGATTAACATTCACATACCCTCCAACTGCTTCTATAGTTTCAGAAATCTTCTTTTCAGACG